GAGGATTTCTTTAATCCTTAAAGACAAGACCTTGGCCAGGATTTTATAAATACTAGTCACCAACTAATTGGCCTAAAATCTTTAGGATGGAGAGCATCAGCTTTCTTTGAAACTAGGGCCAAGAATGTGGAATTAATGCCTCGACTGACTATATGCTTCTCTGCAAACTCATAATTCAAGTGACTTTAAGACAAAAGAAAATTGAAAACAGAATTCATGGAAAAACAAAAATATATGTGCTTGCATTCCCTATGCTCTTCTCTTAGTTTTCCTTTGTAATGAACTGGACCTTCACGTCAAAGGATTTTAAGACATTCAACTAGGTTATATTTTGACGGGACAGCATTTCTCTGTTGGGTAGTCATTTTTGTACATGTTAAGTTTAGCATTAGTTTTGTCAAGTGAGGGCATTTTGTCCTCTTAGTCCTTTTCTACATTCTGATTTGACATATGTTACTCTTAACAATACAAGGAAGAAAGAGATGCTAACTTCTTCACTGATGCATTGGCTAAACAGGGGGTGGGAAGGAATCATCTATTTTGGGCTTTGTTGTACTTGTAACATGATTTATCTATTGAGGGAGAACTAGAAGAGTTTATCTCTTCCTTTATCTCTCTTTGTTTTAATCTAATGAATCTGAAAAAAAAAAACACAATACAAGGGGGAAAGGATGAAAAACAAACTGAATCAAATTTTTGTGAGCTATAGACACCCCTTCTCTTACTTTTTGCACACATTTCCCTTTTATTTTGACTCCCAAGTGCATAATAGTGCCTCAGTTAACTTCCAATCAAAAGATAAATAAATAAATAAATAATAGTATTTCAGGTAACATCCTTAAGCTTTATTTGATTTGCATGTCCCCTATCTTTTTGAACATCATAAAGAAGATCCTTGCTCAAAACCAGCTCAAATGTAAGAACATCAGTGAGGAGGCAGAAGAGAACAGAAATCATCTTCCCATGAGTGGTAATGGAAGAAAATCAATGTTTTAAGACTCAGACCTGAGCAAAAACTGGAATGCTCTCTGGGTCCCAGTTTTACCGGTTAACTGCGTGGTTTGCCTGTCCAACCCACCAAAACTGTCATTTAACTGGGACACAGAAAGGCCACTGGTTCACGGTTTTCATAGTCCAACCATCTGGTCCGGGCCGAGTCTTAAAAAATGGGAAAAATATCCAGTGATCCAAAATTTAAAATATACCAGATAAAAAATGAAAGGTTATGAAACACTTTTCATACAAAAGAATAAAGAGGGCCAAAAATCCAATTATGTAAGTAAAAGATGCAAAAACTGAAAGTAACCAAAGAGCATGAGGAGAGAAAAATAGGGAGGGGAAAGAATTAGAATACTACCTCATAAAATTTCATCAGTTTTGCTGCAATATTTGTTGTTTCAAGTAAACCTGAAGTAATTTTTCTCCCAAAAAGTCGGTATAATTCCCCCAAGCACTGTGCTGCTCCTATAAAATAATAACAAGAAAATTAAACCAGAACCAAAGAAGAAATCACAACATAAACAAAACCAAAGAAGTTAACACCAAAATCACCAAGGGGTGGCGATTTTGTTAGATTAAAGATTTCATTCATTTCAACATGTTCAGAAAAATGATGTAACGAAAATAAAGACGTTGAGATGAATGAGTGGGAAAAATAGAAAGGATAGGATCACAAATGAACTTATTCAAAGTAACTCTGATAGGTGCTAAAATGACGAAAAGTAGACTAAAATAGTTTGGTCATCTGCAAATAATAACATCAACAGGACCAGTGACAAGAAAGTAATCTGTCACAAGATGGAAGGTTTAAAGAGCAAAGGGAAGACCAAAAAGGACATGAGTTTAAATAGTGAGAGTTGAGAAATGGTTCAAGGGCCTGCAATTCAATAATAGATAATGAACATTGGCACTTGTTGGTGTGAAAATTTTAATAAATTCTCATGCAACATAATTCACTCAATCAAGTGATTGAGTTTTTATTATTTTGGGTAAGGCCCATTCAGGGAACCATACGGATTGTTCCCCTTAATTACATCTCCACAAGAAAGTAGCGAACACCTTTTGATTCTGACTTGGAGAAATGGATGCATAGAACAAAAGAAAAGAACAATAAGGTACTTAAAAAGAACTTTTCATTTGCTTTTCTTTTACATCAAGTGTACAAGAATGGGAAGAAAGAAAAAGAAAATACAATTGAGAAACTATACAGCAATATATTTCTCTTTTTTTTAATACAAAGAAAATCTCCCTCCCGTTCCTTTCTTCACAATAAATTATAGTCAATCAGATGAATTCTGATTGTAGACAGCCTTAATCCTTGGATTTTTGCATACAAAAAAGGGAACCGTAGTCAATCAAACTGAATATTTGATTGTAGACGATTTTCATCCCTTTGCTCTTCATTTTCATATGAAGGGAACCATAATCAGCCTTCAAGAATTAGACTGTAGATGGTTTAAACCCTAACTTTGTCTTGAAAGAGGGACCATGATCAACCAAGTAGAGGCACCTAGTTGTAGATGGTTTATTTCCCTCTACTCTTCATTTTCCTTTGAAGGGAACCATAATCAGCCTTTGAGAATTAGACTATAGATGGTTTAATCCCTAACTTTGTCTTGAAAGAGAGACCATAATCAACCAAGTAGAGGCACCTGATTGTAGATGGTTTATTTCCCTCTATTTCCTTTTTCAAAAGTAAAAATAAAAGAGAGAGAAAGAAGGATACATAGCAGAAGGCATAAATAGGAAGTATTCACAGAGAGGACTTTCCTTTTTCTACCTATATTAGTGAGACTTTTCCTTCCTTGCCTTCCCTTAAGCACTTCTCTTTTCTTCTCTCCTTATCTTTGCTTTTCTTAAGAATCTCTTGTGAAAATTTTCTCCGAAGAGTCTCTCTCTGTTTTTCTAGCTTCCCCTTAAGGAGCTTAAATAGGGAGTGGGGTACTAATATAACTACCTCCTCCTCCTAGGTAAAGAACACCTGTCCCTCCCACTTAAAGAGAGGGAACTCCCAATCGGGATACTTTTTTATTTTTAATGATTTGGCTAGCAGACTAGCCAACCCACTTATTTGAGTTCTAATTTATTAAATATTATTTGGATTAAAAAATAATGCCTTCAATAGCACTGAACACAATGGAATAGTTGAACAAGATTCATGTATAATTGGAACAAGGTTTAGTTGAGTAGAGTTGAATTGAGCTAAGATATTTAATCCCTTTGTATATTGCAATTTGATGTATGTGAAATTACTCAAATGACCCTTAAAGGTTTTGCCATAGTACCATCAAATTAGAAATGCAGAATCTCTCATTTCAACAAACCCATCCTTTCAGACTCTAATAAACCTAGTTGAAAATTACACCTATAGTAATTCAGATAATGCAAGAAAAGAAGAAAAGAGAGAAAGAGAAAGAAGAAGAAAGAAGTTTCGGCAATAGGTTGTAGAAGAAGAAAAGAAGCGAAGAGAGAAAAGAAGAATTTGAACCTCTCTCTCTAGCCCCCTTTCATCACTTTTATTAATAATTCTAAGTCTGAGTACAATTACTTGGATGCCCTTAATGGGGTGGCCAGCACTAAAGAAGTAATTAAAGAAAATAAAAGAAGGCCCGTAACTTTAAATACTACTTAAAAGAAACAAAAAACATGAAGGCCCATTCTCACTACACTCCCCCTCAAGCTGAGCATAGATGTCAATCATGCCCAGCTTGCTTACATAATGTTGAAGTTTTGCCTTTGGGACTCTCTTAATTAGAAAGTCTGCTAGTTGCTCTTCTAATGCAATGAAAGGTAGGCACACCTCTCCTAAAGCCACTCTCTCCCATATAAATTGCTTGTCTACCTAAATGTGCTTAGTTCTATCATGCTGAACTGGGTTGTGAGAAATGTTAATAGCAGCTTGGTTATCACAATACAACATCAGTGGCTCGTCACATGAAACGCCCATCTAATAAAGGAGAAATCTAAGCTATAACAACTCGAAAACACCATGGCCCATAGCTCTATACTCTACCTCAACTGAAGATCTAACAACCACTGATTGCTTTTTGCTTCTTCAAGAAACAATATTTCCAATTACCATAGCAAAATATCCTGATGTGTATCTCCTGTCATCCACATTTCCTGCCCAATCAGCATCTGTATATGCTTCTACCTTAATGTGTCCATGTTTAGCAAACAATATACCCTGCCCGGGGGTTCCCTTTAGGTAGCATAACACCCTTTCTGCAGTAGCCATATGTGTCTCTAGGAGCATGCATGAACTGGCTGATGACACAGCATATGAAATGTCTAGACAAGTCATACATAGATAAAGAAGTTTCCCCAGTAATCTCTTAAACACTCCCCTGTCAAGTAAAAGTTCTCCATCATTAGCTGAGAGTTTATGATAAATATGAATAGGGGTAGAGGCAGGTTTAGCACCAAATTTTCCAATCTTAGTAAGAAGATCTAGCACATACTTCAGTTGAAAAATAAAGATACCTTCCTTGGACCTAGCAACCTCAATGCCCAGAAAATACCGCAACTCCCCTAAATCTTTAATTTCAAATTCAGAATTGAGAAATTTCTTGAGAGCACTAACTTCTTCTATATCACTATCAGTAACCACAATATCATCTACATAAACTATAAGAAATGTCACCAAAGTGTCTTTTCTCTTAACAAAGAATGTATGATCTTATTGAGTCTGAGTGTAGCCAAACTGAACAAGAGCAGCCCTAAACCTGTCAAACCAAGCACATGGAGATTGCTTCAAGCCATAAAGTGATTTCTTCAATCTACACACCTTACCCTGCATTTCCTTGTCATATATACCAGGAGGAAGGGACATATATACCTCTTTAGTGAGATCACCATTCAGGAATACATTCTTAACATCAATAGATATAGAGGCCAATCATATTTCACTACTAAGGATAAAAGAACTCTCACCGAAATCATCTTAGCAACTGGAGAAAAGGTCTCAGTGTAATCTACCCCATATACCTGGATATATCCCTTGGCAACAAGCTGAGCCTTATACCTCTCAATTGACCCATCTGCACGATACTTGATAGTGAAAACCCACTTGCACCCAACAGGTTCCTTCCCAGCTGGCAAATCAATAATATCCCAGGTATTGTTTTTATGAAGGGCTTCTATTTCAGTACTTATTGTATCCTTCCAATCTGGTGTGGCTAAAGCTTCTGAAACAAACTTTGGGATGGATTGAGAGGAAATGGAGGCTAGAAAGGCAAAGTAGGATGGGGACAATAAGATATAGAAAAGGTGTTTGGAAATACAATGAGTTGTACATTTCCTCTTACTTTTTCTCAAAGAAATGGTTAGGTTAAGGTATGGAAACGAGGGTGTTGGTGGAGGTGATGGACATGTCCTCTCTTCAGTAATCGGGAGCGCTTGATACTCAATTGGAGGTATGGGATCAACCTGTGTTTGCCTTAGCGCTTGTCGCTGGTACCACCTCTGGAGAATAGGATGAGTGGAAACAACTTGAGGACTAGCAAGAGGAGAGTGAGGAGCAGGAGGGGAAGACCTCAAAGGAGAGGATCCCTCCACGGGAATGGGGATAACTGCGGAGGGCTCGACACAAGACTCAACTAGAGTTGGCAAAGAAAGGGATAAAGAAAACAAGTCGAGAGATCTCTCCCCCTCAAAAGGATGGCTATAAAAAGGAATTAACTCTACAAAGGTGACATCCTTGGAAACAAACTGGGTGTCACTAATGGGATCAAAACAATAGTACCCTTTCTGTGTGGAGGCATAACCAAGGAAGATACACTTCTGAGCCTTGGGGTCAAACTTATGTCCTTTGGAACTGGCAATGTGGACATCACAAGTGCAACCAAAGACCCTCAAAGGAATAGAGAAAACCTCAACATCAAGAAAGAGGACTCCAAAAGGAGATGCTAACCCCAAGACTCGAGAAGGCATCCGGTTAATAAGGTAAGTAGCTATTAAAACTGCATCACCCCAAAACTTCACAGGAACATGGGTAGCAAAACGAATGCTCCTTGCATAATGTGTCTGTTTTTTCTCTCCGCTACTCCATTTTGTTGTGGAGTGCGGGCACAAGAACTCTGATGAATAACCCCAAACTTCTCAAGATAGGAGGTAAGGTCCTTCTCAAAATATTCCTTAGCATTGTCTGACCCATAGTTTTCAAGGCGCCAAGGCAAGGCTAGGTGTCAGAGGAGCGCCTTGTCGCCTAGTCGCCTAGGCGGGCGCCTAAGCGTCGCCTAGGCGATGGATTTTTTTTAAAAGTAGTTCAGGTTTTAAAGTCTTTGAGGGTTCAATACAGCATTTAGCAATGTTTGTATTGATTAAATCCTAACAAATAAGAAAACAATGAAAACAAATTAGTATATAAACACACAAAATGAATATTTTAGTGTAATAGTGCCTATTTTATAATTACAATGTCAAAAAATAAAGAACAAAAAAATATTTTACAATACATAGTACAA